CCTTTCCCCCTCCCTCTCCTCACTTTACTACTTGTTTCCCTGCAGGCAAGCCCAGCTTGAGCTTCAAAACTCAAAACGTTTCAAAGATTTCGAAACGTTTTGAGTTGCCTCATTTCGTTTCAAGGCTGTTTTGAAGCTCTCTCTTTCATTTCAATTTTGCTGTTTTGAGCTCAAAACGAGTTGGAGCAGTGTCGAAACGAAACTGCCGACAAAATTTTGCACAGCCCTAGTACTTAGCTTGTGATTTCATGTCTGCCATGATAACCATGGGACTCTTGCAGACAGTTGCCTCATTCTGTGAAATTGGCTACAGTACAGGTCTGGTGCGTACAGAGGAAATAGAGGTGGTGGGGAATCAAAATCATGCCTCTTTTCATGTTCTCGTTATATTCTTTAGTTTGAGATTTGGGCTGCATCTGCCAGGAAGGTTATAAACAGTTTGGTTTAACTGGCTAATGGAACTTGTGCATTTCCAGGTGTTCCTTATGCAGTAGTCATTTGACTGACCACTTACAGTCTGGTCTGATGCAGTCCTCTCAGCCTCATTCTCATCTGTTGCAGTGGCTTGTGACAAATTATAGAGGAAGGGGTTTTTTTCTCTGCTTGCTTTAAAGAATGTTGCTAATTTGCAGCCTCTCCTTTTTTAGATCTTTTGCTGTACAGTAAGTAAGGTTATCTGGCTCCAGAGCACCTCTGAAGTCAAACAGCTGAATTGCCTGCTGCCTGGCTAATTACTCCAGATGGACTCCACTTGATTAATGACCAGCTTATAAATGAGATTTACTCTTACTCTGGCAGAGGAAATTGCTTAGTCTGAGACATTGTAACAACTCAACAGGTAGTGTTTTGAAAATGCTTTCAGATTCCTCCATTCAGCTCACTGAAGAGCCCTGAAGGGACAGTCTGCTTCATGGAAACACACCTCCGTGATGTGATTGTTCTTGCTTGCCCCCTGCAGTTGGCCAGAGGGAGGAAATCTGTTCCTCTGTCATGAGGACTTCCAGGGACACAACTGAACTGCTCCCCAAAAACTTAGCAACAAACCAAATTCATATTAGTAAAATGACAGCCAAATTTGAATTGGCTTACAAACAGCTGGGTTATATAGGCAACTATTAGGCGTGTTTTGTTTGTTTGTTTGTTTGTTTGTTTTAAAGATGAAAAGGTCTTGCCAAGTTTTGGTTTGTGCTTGACCTTACAACTTAAGACACTAGAAATCTTGAAAGTCTTGTTTTCACTTTCTTGCTCTGAATGTCCCCGTGTATCTAACAGTCAGCGGGAATTTTCCTATCTCTCAGGTGTTGCAGGCTTGGGAGGAATGAAAGTTTCAAGATTCTGCCCCTGATTGTTTGGAGAGTAGTTTGAGTTGGTAGGTTTGATTTAAAAAACAAAGCAAAACACATGCATAGTTTTGAATGATTTGAATGAGGTTTATTTTCCATATTTATCTGTTTTTTACTTGTTTGATATATAAAATTTCATTGCTAAATGTGTGCATTCCATCATATTTTCAAGGAAAATGAGACTAAACTTTAATTTCCAGTTTCAGGTTTGTTTTAATTGGCTTAGTTCTTACTGTACATCAAAGTCAGATGGGCACACTTTCATCCATCCTTTCAAATCACTCAAAGTAGCTTCTGCACTCGATCTAAGGACTTTTTTAACAGTGCTTTAACCTCCTCACTTAAATGTAAACTTAATCTTTTGGAAGAGCTGTATCAAGAGTTGGTACAGCAATAAAGATTCAAGAAAAAACATTTTTATCTGTTCTTCAGTAGTTGCAGAATCTATAGCTGTGTAACATGCTTTTGGCTAAGCCATGTGTAGTAGTCTTTGGAAACTTCAGTGCGTTTTCACAAACATGGTGTCTATCTCAGAGAAGTTGTCCCTTTATTTTCCTATGATATCCTACCTGTTAATATTTTAGATAGTTCATGTCATCCACTGTTACTTTTGTAGTCTATCTTGTGGCTTTTTAACTTTGATATTTCTGATGTTAATCGGTAAGTAGATTGGTTCCATGGATTTAACTATCTCTTGTTTCATTTGGGAACACAAAATTTTACAAAGGATTTATCTGAACTCTAATAAAAGACCGTGATTGTTTAAGTTTTTCAGAAATTGAGCTACATAGTTTGGCCAAATTTTACAGGCAGATTCTTCTGAACTATGTTTATATTGAAACTTGTAACCATTCTATGGATTTTCTTGTAACAATTGTCTAGGTCCAGCTCTTCCAGTAAACCGTTATTTCCAGCAAGAGTTTCCCAGTCTGCAGGCAGCTGGGGATCCAGAGAAATCAGGCAAAGAGAAAGATGCAGCTGAAGAGCCCCAGGGACCTGGACCTAATTCACGACCACAAAGTAAGTGTTTGAATTGGTATATATCTTAGTGTAGAGCTTTGTTTCAGAGTTTTGCTGGAGATTTCTTATCTGTGGTAAATAATAGATAGAATTTTACCTTTCAGAAATTCCAAATGTAACAGAAAACTGAGAAACAAAATGGCTTATATTCTACCTCTTATTCTTGCGAAAGTTTGAGCGTATTCTTTCCAGACTTACTTCACAGATTTGTTCCATTGTTTTGCTAGATTTTACTCGTTTGCTTTATCATTTTCTTTGAATCTAGCTTTTTCTCGCATGAAACCTCTTGAATATTTTTGACTAAACAGCATTCATTGTTTTCATTGTTCACCTTTCACTAACAGATTACAATGGGGAATTTTCACACTTGTATATGTAGATGTTCATGATTCCCTTATTCCTAGGCTACAGTTTACAGGTTCCCAAACTGGTAAGAATACTTGCAAGTTACGTGAAGCTGGCATCTCCTTACTTCTAGCATGTAACTGTTATCTAGCTTAAAAATACATTCCAAATATTTCTTGCTACATAAATAGCTGGTGGAAGTCGCCAAAGAATAAATGACTGCATAAACATAAGAGGAAAGTGGTCTGCTGAATACTGAATAGGAAGAGAGTTGGTCAAGAAGATGCCAAAAAAAGGGTCTCGCTCTGAAAGTTTGAGACTCCTCTGCAGAGAATTAGTGTTCCCAAGAACAAATCCTGCCACGCTATAGTTCAGGGGTCGGCAACCCCTGGCACGCGTGCCGAACGTGGCACGTGAGGCCATTTTGCTTGGCACGCCGTGGCCAGCCCCAGCTCCGGGGAGCTGCTGCCTGCAACAGAGCTCCCAGCAGGGCTTGCAGCATCCCAGCTGCCTGCTGGGAGCAGCCCGGGCTCCCAGCTGGCAGCAGCTCCCCAGAGCTGGAGCCAGCTGCAACGGGAAGGCTCCAAACAGCTGTGCCGGGCTCCAGCATCAGCTCCACACCGGCGTGTGTAGGCGCGTCTCAGAGCAGGTGGTGGGGGAGGGGCCTGAGGCAGCACAGCCCTGGTCTCTCCCCTGCTCCCAGCACAGAGGTGGTGAGCTCAGTGCAGCTGTTTGTAGCCAGCCTGGACTCTGGGCAGCTGCAGCACGGGCAGTCTGCAAACAGCTGCACCAGGGTCCACAGCTCCGGCATCAGCTCTGTGCTGGTGACGACTGCGTGTGCTGCCCTGCAGTCCTCCCTGAGGTGCACACGCAGTCACTGTCAGCACAGAGCTGATGCTGGGACAAGGGGCACAAGTAGGGCATCCTGCCACGTACCCCTTGCCTTCATTTTGTTTTTCTGCCATGCCAGCACTCTGGCACCTTCCAAGGTAGGCGTTGTGGTGTTTTTTGGTGCTCCGGCCAAAAAATGTTGCCTACTCCTGCTATAGGTAGACTAAGTTGTTTCCACGTATGCTTCATTTGAGAGGAGTGAGGGTTTTCTTTTCCTGAATCTCCCAATCCTTTTGGCTTTAGTCTGCAACCTGCAGGGCACATATACACGTGCCATAAGGGGACAACAATAAACCATGGAGCTTACTGCTCTGCACTTTATTGGTCCCAGGAAGCTCCTGGGCATATGTCTGCATGTGCACCTAGAGCACAGCACCTTGAGCTCGGTTGCAGCAACCACCACTGGCAAGGAGTCTGGGAGTCAGCCTGCTAGCCTGGGCCTGCTCCAACCGTGCTCATTGTGCTGCAGAGGGGCTAGCTGGGGCATGAAAGTACTTCAGTGCAGGGCTAGCTGGCCTTTTGCCCCAGCCAGCTGGTCAGTGTCTACACATACACTGCTACGCACAAAAAAGCTCTACACCAAGGTAGCACTTGTACAAGTACTACCCTGCTGCAGAGTTCATGCACCCTAATAGGGAAGCATATGTAGACACGCCTGCAGTGTTGGTAATAGCCAGCACTTACTCTTCCTTACATGAAATTGGGTTTCTTTTTCTCTCTTCTTTTAACTCCCCCTAAACTTTCATGCTTGTTCCAGTGGAATATTCACAGGAAGCTGTGACCTGTGCAGATGATGGCACTGCCTTGCTTATCAGTCACTGATGCAGGTAGCTGTCATTCAGATGAAGGGACTTGAACTTCCAAGACTTAACTCTCTTCTTCAGCCTGTGTTTCCTCAGTTTTCTTTCTGCTTCAAAAACAGCAGCTGGTTTATCTTGCTGAAAGGGGCGTATATTTGTTCAAGGTGTTAACTGGTTGGTAGGTGAAGAATTTGCAATCAAGAAACTACAGAGAAGACTACGAAATGGGAGAAGGGAAAACTACCTTCCCTACCTGTCTGATATTCCAGTCTCCACTAGCTTTCAGTTCTGGATCTGATCAGTGCCATGCGCGCACACCCTTATCTACCACCCTCGGATCTGAGAACAGGACACAAGAGAAGACAAGTTAGAACTCTGGGGCAAGATGATGGCAGTGCAGCAGGAGCAGTAAAAATAAACTGATGCCCACAAGGCCGCGGATAAGAATACCTGCTACATACCCCGCACATAGGGGAGATGCTACAGGACAGCAAGAATGAAGTATGATTTTTTAAAGGAACATGGATGTTTCATAGTAACTAGAGTCAAGACGGACCTGTACAGATCATCTAGCCTGACCCCCTGCCACAGGCAGGAATGAATGCTGGGTTCACAAGACCCCAGACGAGATCGTCCAACTTCCTCTTGAATTTGCCCAAGGTAGGGGCGAGGACCACTTGTGTGGCTTTTAAAGTCTGTCATCTTATCCTGAATAGAGCACCAAGAGGTATTTTTTCAGTGAACGCTTTTCAACTTGTTTGGGGAAAAGATGGCCACAAAACTCTGCCCACTTTCTTCTCCAGACTCGGAATATGGAAATATGCAAAGTGAATTTTGAATACAGGATGCTGCCAAATCCTTTGTTTTCCAACCTTATCATAAGCAAAAAATTCCATAAGAATGGGACTACCTGTCTGGAGTGGTAAACCATAAAAAAAAAAAAATCACTTCAGCTTAGTCTTCCTGGATTTTTTCCACACTTCTTCAAGGGCTGTCCTCCTAGCTAGAGATGCCTGTCTGTACCCCTCTGTTTCAGAATTGGTAGACTCTTAACCGACAGCTGTAAAGACCTGTATTCTGCATACAAACTTAAAGGAATCTCCTAACATGGGACTCGGAATATTGTACTTTTGAGTTCTTCCAGCCAGAACTGACTTGCTTCATGGTTTTGGCACCTAAGCAGTCCGATTCCCAACCTTGACCAAGGTCCATCTTCAGGCACACCATGCACCTCAAGTTGTCACAACAGTTTGCTTAACCTACACACTGAAAACTTGTAGGGCTGGAATTGTTTTATGTTCTAGCAATATATCCGTGGACACATCTCTTGAATCATGGCAAACAGCCTGAGTTAGGCTAGTCAATTTAACTTTCAACTTAAAAAACTCTCGAGAAAAAGCAGCTTGGAGGTGGGCTGAGGAGGAGGATGGGGAGCCAGCAGCCTTTTAACTAGAGTAGCCACCACCTGCATGAATGACAAGCTGCAAAAGCATACATCTGCACTGGTGCTTCCACATCAGAAACCTGGGTAAGACATTTCACGCTGCGTTGTTAAGCGTAGTTCAGTGTTTTTCTTGTCTTTCTCCTTTACTGGTTCCTTCTACATCAATGTTTCTAGTTGAAGAGAAGGTAAAGATAGAAATCTCAACACCCCAAATTCTCCAACAGATCAGGAAGTTAAAACTCCAGGCCAAGAAGATGGTAGTGCAGCAGGAGCAGCAGAACAAACTGACGCCCAAAAGGCAGCAGAGAAGAGGGATGTACGGATGCCGCAGGTACCTCAGCCCAAGCTGAATGGCCAACAGCAACCTGGTATCTCTTCTCAGTACCGAGCAATGATGCCACCTTATGTAAGTAGCAGTAATATGAAATCTCAAATCAGGGAACTGCTATTAGCCAGCTAACTTGAAACATCATAGCCTTTCTCTAGGTCTTCTATGGTATGTTTCTAAACATCGCATAAATTAAACAAGTGAGTTTGGTTCCTCTTTTGTATGCTGGAGTTTAGACTTGTGTGCATTTTAATTCCTTTTGAAGTATTCATTCTGGAGGACAAGCCTACATATAGTTGCAGGAACACTCTATTGCCACATTAAAGCATTCCAGTCTGCTGGTAGGAGGGCTACTTGGCTTTTCACTTGTTCACATACCACCCAAATCTTGCATTAGTTCATATTTCCTTTCCTTTCAAAATAATGGGGTGTATAATCTCAATCTGATATTCATTTAATGCTCACTGGTAAATTGAACCTTTTCATGGCTCCACCAGCCTTGATTTTAATGGAAAGCAATGTTTTTTTGCTTTGTTCTTTTTCACTGTATTTTGTTGGGGGCTTGGAGTTTTCTTGTGGGGGGGGTCAGTTGGTTGTTTGCAGGGAGGGGCAACTTGGTAATATCTCTTATTGGACCCACTGTGTATTTGGGAGAAATGTTAGATGAGCTCTGGGGGACCCAGTACCTTTCTATAGGTCTAGGAAAGAGGTAAGATTTTTACCTTGTCATTCAGGGTCATTACAAGCCCCATATACACATTTAAAAAAACATAAGAACTCATGCCACTATTCAAGATAAATTCTCTCCTTGAGTTGCAATACATTCTTATTTATTTTCATAATGGTTTTTGTAGTGGCTGCATTTGTAAGTGCATTATTCCTGGGTCTAACACTTTTGGTAATCTGGGGCTTCCTTTTCTAGATGTTTAATCAGCATCCCAGAATGGCATATCCTCCAATGCAGGGTCCCAGCAGGTTTCCTGCTTCATCTGAGCCTAGCAGGTAAAAATTCATAAATACCAGAATTGGGTGAGCTCTGACCATTTCTTTGTGGGTAGGATCAGGACTGCATGCAAAATTTTGTATTAGACTTTTATTAATTGAGGTCGTGTGACTTTACACACACATTGCTCCTGTTTCTGTGTGTGTGACATGATAACTTTTGAAAGGTGCATCTGACCAATTCCAAACTTTAAGGGAAAATTTTGTGCATCAATGGGGAAACCCCTTTTGATTAGAAGGAGGGAGATTAAAACACTGAAAAGGAAAAAAATAGAGGGCATAGAGTTCTGTCTAGCTGAGCCATTACTTCCAATATCTCTGGCTGTCTCTAAACCATAGAACTAGTTGGTGGTACCCGTTAATGCCTTTAGCATACCACCACGTTTTCAGCTCTGCCCATTCTCCTATACAGCTTAACATATTGATACCAAATACAATTGATCTGTCCTACAAAAAGAATAAGACTTGGGAAGGTGAGGAATAGGGGTGTTCACATAGCCACCCGTGATATGGCTGGAGGATACAGAACTTTGCTTTGGGAAATAGCTAGAATGAGGCATAGAAGTTCTGAAAGAGGAGACATAGGAATGGTGGGAATAGGAGAGACTGGGAGGTTACATGAAGACAGGTTGATAGTATTTGCCTTTATGTGCAAGGAGATCAACCAACAGCAGCTGTAGAAGGTTGCAGCTCCCTACTTAGAACCCACTAAAATAGAGTACTTGCCAACAAGGTTCCCTCTGAGGTGTGCGTGTGCGCAGCCTCGCACAATTTAATACCATGCCACACACTAACTTATTAATGCCGTGCACCTGCCTGGAGAGGAGCTGGGCTGCAGCGTGACATGGCACGGCGAGACAGGGGCTGAGGGCTGGCGTAGTCTCTCCTCACTCCCGGAGACGGGGGCTGGGGCTAGGGGCTGCCGCCAGGAAACTGCTTCACTCCTCAGCCCCGAGACCATGTGCCTTCTCACTCCAGGAGGTGAGATGGAGGCTGGTGCCGGCTCTGCTGGCGTGGAGGAGCTGCTCTGCTCTCCAGCCCCGAGGCCATGTGTCTCCTCACTCCCGGGGCTGGGGCTGGCACGGACTCTGCCGGCTCTGGGGAACTGCTCCGTTCCCCAGCCCAGAGTCTGTGCGCCTCCTTGCTCCCGGAGCAGGGACATATGTGGAGCTTGGCTTCCCCAGATCTCAGGTACATGGGGCAGAGCAGGTTGGTGCAGAACCTGGGTCTGCATCAGAGGAAGAGGAGCAGGCACAAGGAATCGTTCCTAACCATGATGTAGTTTGGGGGTGCTAGTTACAGCTGTCTTGGTCTAAGAACATAGGCAGACAAGCTGCTTTGGGTAAATTATATCACATTTACCCAAAGCACTTTGTCTAACCATGACATAAGATTTCTGCATCATGAATGGGGGGGGAGTCCCCATTACCGGCTCTGGGGAACTGCTCCGCTCCCCAGCCCCCAGTCTTGTGCTTGGAGGATTATTGCAAAATCCATTGCATGAGGATCCATTACATGAGGATTCTAGTCTATTAGGCTTAGCATAGTCTGGATCCAGGTTTAGCGAAAGGGGGAGGTGGGACCAAAGTGGTGTGCTCACGGATCAGTACACCTTAGAGGGAACAAGTTGCCAACTGCAGTCAGCTGTATCTACACAAATAAGACATTTGTAGTTTTCTGCCTTTTTAGTATGGTAAAACCACGTGATTCAAAGTTTTCTCCTTCTCTTAGACATGCACAATAAGAAAACAGTTTTACTAAACGTTTATAAAATATCTAGTACAGTATGATATATTTAGCTAAGCCAGTGCTGCTAACAGTTTTGGCCGTGTGAGACAGATGAATTGGTGTGGGGCTGGTCCACAACCAGGATTGGGCCTTCTGCCACCTGGCCAGGTTCAGGCCATGGCCCTGGGGGAGCTTCCTAAAATACATGAGAAACCCTGCAGGCTGGATGGCACAGCACCAGTGGCTGCATCTGACCTGCAGGCCAAGGACTGAGCACCCCTGAGCTAGGTAGTAAACTTATGTCAATTAAGATAGGAAGGTAATCACATTTGCTTAAAAATGGCAGGGGGCTGGACCAACCCAATGATCTCATGAGGTCCCTTCCAGCCTTAAAGTCTATGAAATCTATGCAAATTAACTTACGATTCTAATTGTAACTAAAAGTCAACCTTTAAAGATATTAAAGATCATTGATTTGCTTTCTTTAGCATAGCAGCTGTTGTATACATACTGATCTTGGGCTTTTTGGATTATTTATTTCATTCTAGAGGTCCAAGGGGAAGAGGACCCCCATCTCGGTGTGCAGAACCAGTAGAGCGTCCGTCCATCCTTAGTGCTAGCGAGCTCAAGGAGCTTGATAAATTTGATAATCTAGATGCTGAGGCTGACGAAGGCTGGGCTGGTGAGAATATTGTGAATCTCTGAAGTCTCTTGTTTGCATACTGAACACTGCTGATAGATTAATCTGAGTTTTTATTTCCATAATAGGTGCTCAGAGTGAGGTAGATTATACAGAGCAGTTGAACTTCAGTGATGATGAGGAGCAAGGAAGCAGTCAGAAAGAGAAGGAAAGTGGGTAAGTTGAAGTCATAAGTCATATTAGTTATAGCATGTGTCATAATTAAGGTTAGATCTTAAAATCCCTTTAAGGGGAGGTCAGTGAATTGCTGTTCTTGATGACTTAATCATTCAAAAAATGAATTTCTCTATATTATGTTAGCGCCTGCAGATTCCAGTTGGTATTGAAGCCCTTATTTGCCAGATGCTAGTTTGCTAGTAGAAATAGTTGTTGCCCCAAATAACTTGCTGTCTAAGTAGACAAGACAAACTGAAATTGGGCAAAAAAGGTACTATTGAATACATGCTTAACATAGGCCTTCAGTTTCATTTGTTTCTTTGATAGTGATGAACAAATGCCTTCCAAAGATTCTCAAAGTATTGACAGCCACAAAGAAGCAGAAGAACAGTCCAGTAGTAAATCCTCAACCCAAGCTACTTCACCAGGAGTAAAAGGACCATATGGCAAGAGCACTCAGCCTGACCAGGTTTGTATTTGTCACTTCTTTACCCCAAGGAAATCCTCTAACCCAGGGGTGGGCAATTATTTCAGGCAGAGGGCTGCTTATCGAGTTTTGGCAAGCCATTGAGGGCTGCATAACAAGCAGCCAGGGGCAGATATATTAATTTTCTAAATTTTTAGGGACCCTGCGGGCCAAATAGAATGACCTGGCAGGCTGTATCTGACCCGTGGGCCGCATATTGCCTGCCCCTGCTCTAACCCATAAGAATACTTAGTGTTCTTCCCCATTCTTCTGAGGGACCAATGATTTCCCTGAAATCACCGCACAGTTGTCTTTTTATTTTGCTTACTTCAATCTTGTAACTCTTTGGTGGTAACCATTTAAGATATGTCTCTGACCACTTTGTTCTCCAGAACTGTAACTCATAACTAAAACTGTAAATGGAGTTGCATACAGAGCAGCTTTTCTCACTTAATTGTTCCAATGTTTCTTATTTTCCTTGAGGTAATCTCTTCAGATTTCTTTGAAAGATACAAAGCTTAAGTTTAGGTTTTCCCAGTGCACCATATCTCCCTAAACTTTTAAGCAACAGGTCTTAGATACATTGTAGAAACTTCACACCTCAGATGGCTTTTTCAGGTCTTGGTTTATCCTACAGCACTGTGGTGCTCAACTCACCTAGCTACACCAGGCTAGATGAGTAGCAGCAATTAAACATTGCCATGACTCTGCCACTAAATTTCCAGCCTTTCAGGGAGCACCATGATCATGGATGACTTGGCTGCACAGACCAGATCTTGGTCACCCCTGCTATAGCAGAAAAGATTTGCAAGTATCTAATATAAGGTCTCTGTGGGACTTGTTCTTGTAATTTGTATTTCCAGGGAAGCAAATTCTGGCATTTGTTTGAACATTTTACTGAGATCATTAGCTTATCCTTTTTGCTTCCACCAGCTGCAAGATGGGAAAGACTAGATTGGCAGCAAGGAAACCTTTAATTTCAATCAAAATATTATTTGATGTTAATGTAGAGGAAGGGGGTGCCTAGTCTTTTTTGCTGAATTGAAGTGTTAGGACTTTTTGAAGGATGATGCCTTCAGTTAAATCCAAGTTATGCCCCTTGAATATGTGAAAATCTGAGGGTATAGTTTAACTATTTAAAACTTAAGTGAAATCGATGTTTTGACCTTTTTTTTTTTCCTGTATATACAACTTCCACAAAGAGTGCAAGGTGGTTTAGTTTGAAAATGTTGAATTCAACAAGGAAGCATTCTTAATTTAGGCTATCTGCAAGTCTGACCAAACATACATTCCAGCAAGCAAATTATTCCCAGTCCCATGTTTTGTCCTATAGGAGCGGGGTCCAGCACCACTACAGCCTTCTGTACATGAGAGAGGCAGTTCTACGCTTCCCCCCAAATCTATTTTACAACAGGTATGAGATGAATGGGAAACTGACTTGTTGGGCATTCATGCCACGTTGCTATGTAATAATGTGAAATCCAGTCCTTTCAGCACCACATCTTGCCTCACAGACCTACATTTTTGCCTGCAAAATGAGTAGGTAGAGTGTCAGAGTAAATTTAAATGCTTCTGTCAAATATATAACTTTGAATTTTTTCTACAATATGGAATCTCAGAATTGAATAGTTCATGATTCTTAAGAAATCTTGGCACTGCTAGAAGTTTCATCTTCCTGTCTTTCCAGCCCCTTTCTACGCTCAGCTGCTGGGAGAGGTGATAAAGCTCTGCATCCTTTTGTGGGAGGGAGGGGGATTCAGGAATTCATCAACTGTTTCCTAATTCAGAGCATCAGTCACAGTTGTCATGTGCTAAGTGCTGTATTCATACTGGTGAAGATCAGTAAATCTGAATTACAACAGGAATGTCAGACCAGCCATGTGCCCCTTCTGCCTCCCTGTAAAACCTACTCATTAGTCTGTGGCCGAGATCTTTTTTTCTAAGGCTTCCTGTCAAACATGGATTTTAGCATATTGCTGTATAGTCAGTTGATCTAAGTGCAAAAGACTTGTTGTTCTGTACTCTAGTACAAGGTGCTCAATCCCTAGCCCGTGGAGCCATGCCATGTAGCTTACAGGGGTCCTCATGGGTCTGAAAATGTAGGGTCTTGTGAGCAGTGGCAGCTATTGCTGCTCCTCTGCTGCCAAATTTCTAGATTAGTGGGGAGACCCGCAGGCTGCTTAGCAGCATGCTCGATCTTTTCATGGAGGTGGCCCAGGGCCCAATCCAGGGACACAGGCTCACTGGAGGTGGCATGGGGCCAAGGGAGGCAATGTAGAGCCCTCATCCAGGCTCATGGAGACCCACATCATTCATCCAGCCTGGGGGCACCAGAAGCTTGACCATCAGCACTCTAGTAGATTTACTTTACTTTACCTTAATGTTGTAGCACCCACCTCCGGATCGCCAGGCAGGACCTGGAAGACAGGGACCCTTTCCCCCTAAGCCAGTACCAGATGAAGATGAAATTTGGAAGCAGAGGCGAAGGCAGCAGACAGAAGTATCAGCAGCTGTGGAACGAGCCCGAAAGCGGCGAGAAGAGGAAGAGCGAAGAATGGAAGAACAAAGAAAAGCAGCTTGTGCAGAGAAGCTGAAACGGTTAAATGAGAAGTTCGGCTGCGTGACAAAACCCTCCCGGGAAGACTCTCTGAAGGCGAGAGAGAAGGAAAGGGAGCGAGAGAGGGAAAAGGAGAGAGAGCGAGAGAGGGAACGGGAGAGGGAGAGAGAAAGAGAAAAGGAAAAGGAGAGAGAGAGGGAGAGAGAAAGGGAAAAAGAAAAGGAGAGGGAGAGAGAAAGGGAAAAAGAAAAAGAAGAGAGGGTGAGGGAAGAAAAAGAAAAACAAGAGAAAGAGCAAGACGGGGAGAAAGAGAAGGAAAAGGAGAGGGAAGAAGAGGAGGAGGCAAAGGTGGAGGAGGAGAAGGCAGATGAGAAGCTGGAGCCTGAAAAGCCTGAGCCTCAAGAACCAGTGATAACACCTGTAATAGAAAAACAAGAAAATGAAAGCAGAAATAATAATGAAGAGAAGGGTATGTATGAATTATTGCATGTTTTCTTTTTTTTTTTTTAAATGAGCCACAAACAGCATAAGAGATTAATCTTTACACCCACTGTACTTGGCTCTGCAACATGTTGCCTGGTACACTGGCATGGCAGATCGGCAGTTGGGCCCTGACATGCTTTGAACCAGTTCATCAGCAACATGAAAGAAATAATTCATGAAACACTGTATATCCTGCATTTTTAGCAAGTGTTGCAATTTTTCTTGCCTTTTGCAAAATCTTAGTGTTTCTCTAGTTAAACGGGGGCTGGAGAAATCCACTTCAGTCAGAGGAATGCCATTATACAAGGGAACAAATTTGATGGTGCTGTTCTTTCAACCCTGCACTGCAGAAAAGTGAATGCAAATAGCTGTAGTAAACAAATATTTAAACTTTACCCTTTCCCAAAAGTAGAGCTTCATTGTCAAATCAGGATTATTTAAATACCAGCACTTAAGTGTATAGGCAAATTCTTTTTTAAATAAAGTGTACAACTGCTGCAAATCAATGTTAGGGTTACCCAAAATAAGTCAGACATTTTACGATTCGTACAGAAGTGTTAGCATATTAACATAGCATTATCCTATAGTTTATAATTGCTTTTAGCAGAACCTCTAGTAAAACAGTTTCCATGTGTGTGAGTTGAATTAGTAGCCGCTAACCTTTGTCTCAAAGGACTGATTTTAATTTAACGTCCCCTTTCCATTCCACTCCATGCCATTCCATTTTAGGGTTTTAGAACACTAAAATCCTAAAATGATAACATATGCAGGCTGCTTTCATTTGAGAGAGGCCAAATTAAAAAGAAAGGTCTGATCTGGTATGCATATCAGTGTCTTTGTCAAAACTTGCATGTACAACAGTTGTAAAAGATGCAAACTTACCTTTATTTTTTGCAGAGAGTCCACCAGTCTTCACCAGACAAGACAGTGGTCGGAATGAAAAAGAAAGTTCACAGGTGGCTCATGACAGTGATCTGGATACAGGAGCCCAACCTCGTCCTGCTGTTTCCTCAGGCTATTCTAAACAGTTTCAGAAATCATTGCCACCAAGATTTCAAAGGCAGCAGGTAAATAACCAGTACATAAGCATCAAAATAATGAATGGTGTATAACTAAGAACTAAGTAATAGAGTTACAGGTCTGACCTTGGAGTTTCTAACCTTCAAACTGGGCTTCAGACTCATGGGGTGATAAGTTTCTTTACAAGCCTCAGATACGGTTTTTCATCTTCCTGTATTATGATCTACAGTATTGGCAAGAGTACCTCTGGTGCACTTTATCTTTCTTTTTATATAAAGGCAAGATATCTAAAAGAGCAGAAAATAATGAAAGAATTATGAAAATGTGATTCCTTCCCCACTCTCTTGCTGTGAATAGCCAATTCATATATACCTAAAGACCGTGATGAAAAGGGGATTGATGTTAATCGGGATTTCTTAAAGGATTCTTGCAACTTGTAGAGGCCGATACCTAACATTCAAAAAATAACTTGCCTGAAAAGCAACCTGCAACATCTTTATTTACTTTTTTATTTTTACTATGTTAACTGAGCATATAGTAGTTTGTCCTGCTTTTCACTGAAAACCGTGCAACCTTTGTTAGTTAACATTTGATAATTTGTTCAGTTTTGGTTTTTCCCCCCTTCCTTCCCTTCCAGGCTATCCTCTTAAATCTTTTATTTATGTATCCAGAGGTTTTGAATAACAGTACAGAGATGCATAATTTTAAATTATTTTTTTGTAATGTTGGATCTGTGGTGTAGGAGCAGATGAAACAGCAACAGTGGCAACAACAACAGCAACAGCAGCAAGGTGTACTGCCACAATCGGCTCCATCGCAGCCTTCCAGTGGCCCTGTCCCTCCTCCCCAACACAGACCACTTTACCAGGCCATGCAGCCCCATCCTCAGCATTTAGCTTCTATGGGCTTTGATCCACGGTGGCTTATGATGCAGTCTTACATGGACCCGCGAATGATGTCGGGAAGGCCTGCAATGGATGTGCCTCCTATGCATCCAGGTAAAATCTAGCCAGTATTTTCACTTTAGTATTTGCAAAGGATTTGGCCCAGGATTTCTCTTGTCCATTGTTCACACAGTAGCTGGAAATGCAAAGAATTATACCAGTACTAAGGCTGTAGCACATTAATTTAATGGAATGATGGGATCTGATTCTCAATCCCAACAGTCGTGCCTCCATGGCAGGATATGCGATTTCAAGATCAGGGTTTAGATCCCGATTGTGCCATTTCTACTTGCCAGTGCAGGGGGGAGCCTGGGATCATGGTCTCGGGGTCAGGACCAATAATCAGTTGATGGTCAGTCTCAGCCCCCAGATTTCATGGGAGCCAGATTGAGATTCCAGTGTGATCCCAAGGCTGGAATTCTCAGTGAAGTCTGGGAAGATGCAAGAACCAATTCAAGACTCACTGCAGTCCCAGCCCCAGGACCTCACTAAGATCTATTTCACAGTTCCATTTTCCAGAATATCAGAAAAACAGCTGCACACAGTTGTTTGGGGTTTTTTTAAACATCCCAGCCTTTTGGGACCCCAGGTTTAGGGGAGAGGTTCCCTGATCTTGTGGGGTCCTTATGTCCTGGGTATGTGGGGGGTTTTTAAAGGTCCTGGTGCTCAGGGACTCTGCCATTAGGAGACTTCTCTCCAATCCCTGAGTCTCCATGGCTGGGATATGTCAAGTACCTTGCTCTGGAGCTCCCTGGGAGCTGCAGGGCAAGGTAGTCAGCCTACTGGGTCATAGGGATCCATGCCATCCCTGTGACCCAGCACCCCAGCCTCAGCTGATGAGCTCTCCTCAATTCTGCACCCTGAAAATAGTGAGGTGCAACCTCATGCGAGATTTCACCACTGGCTGTGAGCCTGCCAGTGTTGGAGAGTTGTCAGCCATCTCCACCAGGCTGCATGATGGGGGCTACCCTGCCAACATGTTCAGTTTAAGGCCTGATGGAAACCAGCACAAAAATGTGTAATACTATTTGTAGTGGGCTTCCCATTTTGTGCAAATCATTAATTGCCTGAATTTGTGGCACGGTTACTATTTATGATGATTAACAGGTTAATTGTGCCTTAAAGACCAACATCTGCCAGAGGCCTAAACTGTTTTTATGCAAGTATCAATGAGAAAATCCATTGCTATTCTTAAGCTTTAGCACATGTGTATATATTGCAAAATTAAATCATACTTTAATGCTGTGTTGCAGATGGTATTGGCTATAGTTAGGGTTGTAATTAAAATTTCCTGATAAGCCTTATTTTGATGAACTTGAATGTGAAGCTTGTTAAACTGAGCGATATAGATTCAAAACTTATGACTAGCTTATAAATCTTCAGAGTTTTTCCACATATCAGTAATCGGATGTTAGCACCTTTGTTAAAGTATGCATTTTATGTCTTCTCAATAAGGACATTTTTAAGCCCCATGATTTGCAACTTGGATTACTGTTGTGGGAGCCATTCATTAAAGATAATGAAAGTCTGGTAAAAAGTAAAGATGTTGCAGTTAGCCGAGGGAAGAATGAAATCTATGGCTGTGGGAACTGGGAGTCACTTCAGGGAAGGAAATGAGGAAAGAGGGGAAGGAAGGACAAACAAGACTATGGCAGTTTGAGCTCTTCAGTTACAAAAATGTTCTTTTCACCTAAATTTCTTTATAACCATGGATTAAAAAATCCCCCTGCCCAAGAACATTAGGCAAATGCTGTTTAGTTGTACAGAACCAGAGTTGTCCCCTCCCCCTTCCACCCAAAAAGAAAACAAAAAAATCCTCTAGTTTAAAGGTGCCTGCAGACATGCAAGACATCTGCTTCAATGCACTGTAATTACAGTGCATCAGAGCAGACTTGATGAATCAAGTCTGTTGCAGCATTTTAATTAGCCTGCTCCAGCAGCCTGGTCGTCTTGCGTATTCAGTGTCTCTGCACTTCAGAATGGTAGCAGGGGTGCTTTAACTAAAGCATGTCAAATGAGTTTCAGTTAAAGCACCCCACCTGCCATTTTGAAACGTGGGACACTGTATATGCCAGATGCTGTAGACACTTTTTAATTAGAGCTGCTCCATAGAGCATCAGAGCAGCTCCAGACCCCCTGGAGCACATGTCAAGATTCCCTAAGGGTGGCCAAACTTGTGAAACAAGCGAGAGCCACAGGACACATACCTGATGAGATGTGCACATCCCAGAGCTTGATCTGCACACAGGATCCCAACTTAATCATTTGTTGTTAAATGACATGTTTCAGGAGCTACGTTTAAACTGCCTGGGCACTGCACACAGCTCTTGAAGCATGGCTGGTTACCCCTGTTCTAGCACTTATTGTAGAACTTGAACTGAATGTAAACTAATAATGCATTAATATGTCTAAGTCATCAAGATGAGATGCAGTGGTAGGCAAGAGGGTGGTATGGATGTTATTTAGGATCCTTTTGAGATCAGGCAGCGTTAGAAAGTCTTTTAAGCAGGAGGAACAAAGGCAACAAAATATGAGTTGGAGTACTGGATACATGAGCCTAGTGATTAAGTTAGTCAGTGAGTAATTTTTTCAAGATGTTTCTTTAAAAAAAAAAAATGGTATTTTAAGATGTTAATTTCAGTTATGTAACTTGAATCTTTGATCACAGGAATTATGCCTCCCAAGCCATTAATGAGAAGAGACCAGATGGAAGGGTCAGGAACTAGTTCAGATTCATTTGAACATATAGTTCGATCAGCAAGAGAGCATGCTGTATCACTGTCAGAGCCCCGCATGATGTGGGGTTCAGACCCATATCCCCATGCAGAACCTCAACAACCTAGTACTCCTCCCAAAGTGCTAGAAGAGCCTGAGGATTTGAGGTAAGTATGAGGGTTATCAACTTGTGTATGCCACTCAACTCAACTACACACCTGTATTTTAGATTTGCAATCTGTAAGTGCAACCAAAGTGAAATAATGACCCTTTTATACTGGGAATTTTAAACTTCATGAGTAGTTATGGTTGTTTTAGGGTCATGGATTTTTAATTGCCTGGGTTTATACTACTTGCAAATATAAGTAGACAGTTACTTTTTTGGCCTCATGCAGAAATTGCTTTTCTGAGCTATCACAGTGCGTAATACACTAAGCAATTCCTTTTAATTAAACTGAACTTGTGTTATATTAGCTAATCAACTGACTCATTCAGAGTTTTGATTTGACCATTAAGAATAATAAACTCCTAATACTAACTGAGATGCTTAATTGTAGTAACCAGAAATAGAGGATTTTGTTTTATAGCAGGTTAAAAGGTATCTATTGAAATATATTCAAATAATAAATTCTCTCACTATGATAGTTCCCTGGTTATTCTTTTGTCAAATGTGACTAGAACAGTCAAAAGTTCTGTATTGGGTTACAGGAAATATGATTTTTTTTAGAGAATTAATCTATGGACATGATTTCCTTTCCCTTCCTCTTCCCAAACACAGACCTAATTTTTTTTTTTCTAAGGCCTGAAGCACGCTTGGAACAAGAACGAATTGCTGTTACTACTGCTTACCCTGTTGAACACAACCAGTTGGACTCTCATCCAAAGGCAGACTTTTTTAGAGAACCAGGTGAGGTGGATGTACAAAAATTCCCAAGCAGGTCTTTGGAAGACATACAGCCTCTCCAAACTGACGCACCTAGCTCAGCACTTAGCTTTGAAGTAGTTGATGAAAATATTGCACACAGCTCTCAGGAAGAGCTGGTGCCTATAGGAGAGAGTCATTCAGCTCTGAAGAGAAGCATTTACCATGGTTCAAGTCATTCTTTAAAACCAGAAGAACAGAGGAATGAGACATCATCAGGTATTCCGAAAGTGAACAGCAGACCTGTTGAGACAAAAGAGCCAGCGGAAAGACCAGAAATTAAGCCAAAAAAAGAAGGTTTTATGAGTAACAGAATATCAGAAGGTCCAAAAACTGAAAAACCTTTTAAGCCTAAATCAGAAACCAGATGGGGTCCTAGGCCCAGCTATGGCAGAAGGGAGGAAGGTAGTGATAGACCAATAAGAAGATCTGGCCCTATTAAAAAGCCTGTGCTTCGAGATATGAAAGAAGAGCGTGAGCAGAGGGAGGAAAAGGAAGGAGAAAAGGTGGCTAATGAGAAATTTGGCAAGTCTGAAAAGACGGAAAAGAAGGAACAACCACAGCTGCCACCTCCCCAGGCAGAGCCAGAAAAATCCACCTCAGAGAGTGCTCCTGTGGCTAAAAAGGTACCACAGGATACAGGTCAGGTGTCAGAAACTGAAGACGGCAGTCTGGCAGAGTCCACAGTTAAGCCTGCAGTACAGCCTCTTCCTGTAGTCCAGCAATCTCTGCCTGTAGTTCAGTCACCTCCTGTTCAGCAGCCTCCACCTGTAGTGCAGCAACCAGCTGTTCAGCAGCCTATAACTCAGCAACCTCCACCTGCAGTGCAGCAGCCTCCTGTTCAGCAACCTGTTTCCACAGTTAAGGAAGACAAGCAGTCTGAGAAACCTGTTAGTAAAGAGATTGTAGAGAAACCTCGCTTGGAAACCAGACCAGTAAAGCGAGAACCTGGTTTGCCACCTAGAACGTACTGGAAAGAAGCTAGAGATAGAGACTGGTTCCCAGAACAGGGATACAGAGGGAGAGGCCGGGGAGAGTATTATTCTAGAGGTCGCAGCTACAGAGGTTCTTACGGAGGACGTGGCCGGGGCAGCCGAGGCCATAATAGAGACTATCCACATTATAGAGACACTAAACCTAGAGTAGACCATGTGCCTCCAGGACCTGTTAGGCAGAGAGAAGAGAGCGAAACTCGTAGTGAGAGCTCTGATTTTGAAATAATCCCCAAACGGCGAAGACAACGAGGCTCAGAAACGGACTCTGACAGCGAAGTTCATGAAAGTGCTAGTGATACTCTGCTTTCAGATAAAGACAGCCTAAGCAAAGGCAAACAACCAAAGAGAGAAGAGAGAGTTGAAGGCAAGAAGCCTCCAAAGCCTCTGTCTTTCAAGCCTGAAAACCATGTTAGAATAGACAACAGATCTCTAGAGAAAACTTACATAAGGGAGGATGAGAACAAACCAAAACCAGGATTCCTTCCTAAAGGGGAACCTTCAAGGCGTGGCAGAGGAGGAATGTTCAGACGTGGTGGTAGGGATCCAACTGGCCGCCCACCCCGTCCATCCACGCTAAGGAGACCAGGCTATCGAGACAATCAGTGGAATCCAAGGCAAACAGAAATCACTAAACCTGAAGATGGAGAGCCACCAAGAAGAAATGAACACTATGGTCCCATACCAGTGGATAAAAGACCCCCCAAGTTTGAGAGAAAGTTTGATCCAACTAGAGAGCAAAGGCCTGCACGACGGCAAAGGCCTGCACGACCTCCAAGACAAGATAAACCACCCCGCTTCAGACGGCTAAAAGAAAGGGAGGCTGCATCAAAAATAAATGAAGTAGCAACTAATTCATCAACAAGTGCTACAGTTACTAATGCAGTTAATGAAGCATCCAGCACTGCACTGGATATTTCAGGGAGTAAAACACCAGACTTGTCCAATCAAAATTCTTCAGACCAAGCAAATGAAGAATGGGAAACTGCCTCTGAAAGTAGTGACTTCAATGAGAGACGAGAGAGGGATGAAAAAAAAATGGCAGATGTGACTATACAGGTAGCTGTCAAATCAGGAGAGGGCACTGTACCTCCCAAAAGGGAAATAGCCAAGAGAAGTTTCTCTAGTCAGCGGCCCGGGATAGATCGCCAGAACCGACGTGGCAACAATGGGCCAGCAAAGTCTGCAAGAAACTTCTCAGGGCCTAGGAGCGAAAGGCGGAGTGGTCCCCCTTCAAGAAGTGGAAAAAGAGGGTAAGTATCTGCGTTTCCAGTAGAACCCTCAATAGATAATCACTGTACAAACGCACAAGACTATAAAACTCACACATTTCTTACAGTGTATTACATAGCCATTCATAGTCCAATAAGATTCATAATCATGGGCAGCAGAGAAGTGACAGGATTTGCGTTGGTGGATGTCACAGTAGTAGGGTTTTATTTTAGTTTCATGCCTTCATACTTGAAGTCCAAGAAAATAGAAAGAGCAGACCTTTCCAGTGTCCACTGTACTACACTAAAATAGTCTGGCAGAAAATCACAGTGGCTATTCTTAAATGTGTAATTTATATTTCTCTTCATGACACTTGAATGTAAATTCGTATAAATAGTAACATTAAGCAGGATTGAAAATTGCAACTTTCTTGCTGTCTCTTTAAATCCTTTATCTGTATCTAACCCATTGGGTCTCCCTGTCGATATCTGGTAGAAAAATCAATATAGCAAAGCACGTCAGGCTGCAGTTAGGGAGGTTACGCTCAGTTATACTTGCCATGTTCCTTAGCATTGGAAATTATCTTTTATGTTCAACTTCTTTTTGCTAAATCAGATTCATCTGACACTAATGCTAGTTTCTTGTGTTTCTAGCAATTGTGTGACAGCCTGACCGCCAGAACAATTAGATGAAAAATTCCTGCTTTGAATTTCTACTCCATTTTAAAAGTTATGGCTTCCTTTGCCCTGCCTTGAAAGATTGTGATGACTAATCTAAACTCTGAATTAAAGATTAAGATGTATTGCTGGTCATTGAGTTAGAAAATGAGTGCTCCTCTGAAATATTTGTATAGGTGCAGTGTTCAGCAATAAAAAGGCAGAATTGTGCAGATTCCCATTAGCCTGAATGGCTTTGCTTGTAATTGATATATAAATAAGGCCATGGTCCAGTTAAACACATTTGAACCTAAAGTGCATATTGTATGCTGTGTTGTGTGGTACAGCAGCTATTCAGTGGAGTTCTGAGCTTCATATTTTGGAGTATGAGTTGTTCTTTCACCACACCAACTGATTTGAATGGAAGTTGAAATGAAAATTTTGCAATTTAGAAACGAACTGTTTTCCAAAAGCAGCATTGTAAGTAAAAGTCAATCTCACTGAGGAATTTTAAAGTGGTAGCTATACAACTGAGGCCCTCTCCTACCCCTGTTGTAGATGCACAGTAAACACTTTTAACTTTATAATAGTTGCATGCCGCTATGTTTTCATCTCTGTTTCTGGATATGTTCTGGGTACGGTGGCTAGTTCTTTCTCTGTACAATTTTTCTGACATAGGCCGTTTGAAGAGCAGACAGCAAGCATGACTACTGTTGAGCCCACCAGCAGCAATTCTTTACATCAGGAAGAAGGCAGTGGTGGTGCAGTGGTGCAGAAGAACTCCAAAGATGTCTGTGGCAAAAAGAGAGACGACTCCAAGCCAGGTCCAAAGAAACCCAAGGAGAAAGTGGATGCTCTATCTCAATTTGACCTCAACAACTATGCAAGTATGTCCTAATACAGTTTATGATAACCAGAAATTCTGGCAGTACATTAGTATGCATGCATCCAGAACTAGATGCACTTAAACTGCTGAAAAAAAGTTTGTGCATTTTTATAAAGCTGCTTTTATCCCAATGTTTACAGGCAGCAAACTGCTTCTTTTGTAGTATTTAGGCATATGGCCTTTTTTTAAAACTTGTAACAATTGACACATGGGTAAGCAAGCAAAATAAAATACCTGCTTTAAAAGAAGAGCCTTATTGCACAGCCTTATACTTGATGTCTTCTCCTAGCAGTCATTCAGATCAACTTAAGACATATATTTTCTCTCTGCACATGAAGAGCACAGGAAGTCTTTAGGAAGTCGGTAACTGATTTGGTATGAGAGATATAATCTTCCTAAAGGAGCTAAGTCATACTGACTTTTGTTATGTTATTGTAACACACAATATGGTATCCTTTTTTTAAGGAGCAGCTTTGCATAAGATTTTAGAATTCAGTACTATTTTGTGGTCCCCCAAAGAGAGGCTGAGCTGCAAGAAGAGAACTTTACCACAACCAAACTAACTGTCCATCAGTGCATTCTGACATTTTATATTCATTCCATTCTCTGCATTAGATGCTTTCTGCAATCCAAAACTGCAAATGGAAGGAAGGAACCATCCAACCTCTATCTTTTTTTCTTCCTCCCCGCCCACCCCATCTGTAGGTGTTGTGATCATTGATGACCACCCTGAGGTAACAGTAGTTGAAGACTCCCAGTGTAACTTGAATGATGATGGTTTTACTGAAGTGGTCTCAAAGAAACAGCAAAAACGTCTGCAAGATGAAGAGCGCAGAAAGAAGGAGGAACAGACGGTGCAGGTTTGAGATTTTGTACTTTTTACCTGGTGTTCCGGTACCTGCACACTACTTATTCAGTGAAAATGTTGCAAAGGGCTTTGCAGCAATTTAAAAGTTTTAAGCTTCCTAATAAAGTTGTTTTTCACCTTTCCAATTACTGTATTTTGGTTAGTCATTGTAATTTGAAATATATCTGGCCCAAGTTGCATTGTGCTAAATTGTCATGCTTTCTCTTTATATCATATAGTACAATTGACTGACAAAATGCAGGTTCTTCATGTCTTGGCCTTCTCTAAAGATCAATATTATTCTTAGGTCTGGACCAAAAAGAGTTCAAGTGAAAAAGGAAGAGGTCAAAATTCCAAGCTTCCACCCAGATTTGCCAAAAAGCAGCAGCAACAGCAGGCAGCAGCGGCAGCTGCAGCAGCTGCAGCTCAACAAGCACAAGCTCAGACACAAGTGCAGACACAGCCTCAATGTGTGTCTCAGACTACAAGCCAGCCACAGACTCCGGTTCAACCTCAAACTCAAACAGCAGGTGGAACTAACAATACAGAATATGCAGTAACGGGCAAAGCTCTGCAAAATGCACAGTCTCACAATGCTCTTGGAACAGAATTATGGGAAAACAAGGTAGCGCCCACGACTGTTATTACTGACATCTCCAAGAAGTGTAAGTGGTGCCTTTCACATTTTATTATGGTCTGAGAAGAGAACAACACAAACATTGTGCTTGGAGTGTGTTAACTAGGCAGATGTTTAGAGATCCCAGATACCTTGCCTGAAGCTATAATCCTTGTTACAAAACAGTCTTGTAGGGAGTAGAAAAGGATAGATTCTTAGCATTCCTGAAAATAAAACTCTACTACAAAATATTGTGTAGCATCTCTTAATACTGTTGCCGTATCGGTTTCCCCAGAGAGCCAACAACTAATAATGTCTTGTTGGATTTCTGCATGTTTCCAAATGTAGGACAATTTAGCTCAGTTGAAGGTGACTTAAAAAGACATGTAATGCTAAGAGCTGAGAACAGTTGTGGGGGGGCGTGTCTGAACTCAGACCTAAGTTCGGTAGCCATAATGTCATTGTCCATTCAGTTATATATTTACAGATCTCAGTCCTTGTGGATAAGATGTAGTATTGACTCTGCTGCATTCTCTGAATTTTTAGTGGGACCGATTAGTCCACCACAGCCACCTTCAGTGAGTGCTTGGAATAAACCTTTGACATCATTTGGATCGACTACATCTCCAGAGGTAAGAATAAAACTAAAAAGAACTGAACATTATACAATTGTATCTTTCTAATGGAACAGAAGTTTTATCTAGTTTCTTTATACTATGTGCAATCTTTATCTTATGATAGATTGAGAGCCAGTGATAGTAAGGAAACCTGTAACATGAGGATTTGATGTTAAGTGTAGACGGGGCAAAAATTCTTACTGGCACAGTATTGACAATTAAAAATTAAACCAATACATTTTTAATTACAACCTAATTTTTTTCTTTGGAGCATTAAGTTACCACATGCTTTAAGACTCAACTTGGGGAAAATTGACGCAGTTAACTTCACCAGAATTTCAAAGCCTCAGTTTCTACTGTCAACAATGCAATTAGTAAGAGTTGTGATTTCAGAGGGGAAAAAACAATGCAAGCTTAATTTTAGTTAAAGCACTTAAAAAAATTAGCTACTGTGTTCAGCTCAGTCAGCAAGATAACATACACATTTTCTTCAAGTTATCAGACTTTATTATATATGTAACCAATAAGTTATACTTTCATGTCCCCAAAAGTGGGCAGTAAATGGGATTCCTTAAAATTGACGGTCTACTTTTTCCTGTGCATCTTAAATGGTCTAGGCTTTCTTTTAAAGATCCTGGATTCTTTCTTTACCACAATAGCGAACAATATAAAACTGTCCAAGCTTGATTTTAAGTCTGTAAACAAACTAACCTAATTAAACCAGTAAATTTGAGAACTCTCTTCATAAAAAATTTCTGATCACTTCCATCAAAATATTTAACAATGTTTAAAGGGGTGTAGGCAATTTCAAGATGACCATCTCCCCTACTGATTTGTTTCAACCTCACGTTCCTATTTCTGATTTTCTCTGAGCTGCTGACAATTAGAGAACAGGGGTGGGGCATTGGAAAATGGTTCTGCATAGAGCTTTTTTTTTTTTAATATAACTTTTTCAGATTATTTCCCCCAGAAGTATTTAGTGATTTCGTGTCTGTCTTGTTCTATTCATAAGCAAAAAATATTCATACTCCACAGCTTGAACTAACAGTTTCACCCAGATTCATTCTACTTTGGAACAACTAGGCCTATTTCATAGATTTCTAGTGGTACCGAATATACATATGATTTTGCAACAAGTCTCAGATAAAATGCATAAATAAATGTGTCTGTTCATTCTTCATTTTTCAAATAGTGAAATCTGGTTTCTCAGTGGAACTTTCTCTTGAATGATGCTTTGATCTAACAGTTTGTCCTAATGCTAGCAACAGAATAGAGAATGAGAAAATACAGAATCTTGCACAAAAGGTGCATGATTGTATTTTGTATTAACACAAAATAGTTGAGCAGACATTTCTTGAAGTAAATGCATAGTTTTGACTTATTTTGTATTAATTACTTGTATTTTTATTTCTCATTTGTTATTGACAATGTAAATCTTTTAAAATTGCTGTTGAGGTGCATCAAATTCAGCAAGCTTCTTGTGTGCTTGTATGGTAAAGTTTAAAGCTGTCTTAAAGTTAAATTACAAACCTTGTTAATGCAGCAGTTTGTTAGAATGTACTTGAAGCTTAAATACATGCTCTTACCACTTTATCTAGGGAGCAAAACCTGGACAGGAAAGTGGAGTCGAGCTTGGAATAGAAACTATTCAGTTTGGAGCACCAGCATCCAGTGGCAGTGACAATGAAGTTGGCCCTGTACTTTCAGAGAAGCCCACTGACAAACTACCTGAACCAAAAGAGCAAAGACAGAAACAGCCTCGGGCAGGCCCCATCAAAGTACAAAAGGTAAGAGAAGGTTTATTTAATTATAAAAGCTTATTTATATAAAGCTTGTAAAGGTGGTCCCAAGCATAGTAGAAAAGTCAAAAGAAGAAAAACACCAAAACAGTGTTGTCTTGAATGAAGCTAAATAAACTGTTAGAGGTTCAGGTCTGATAAGCTGGAGCACTAGAAACTTACAAAGAAATTGTGGGTGGAGCATTTTCTGTTTTCTGGGAAATGTACAGAAAAATTGTGGTAATTCTAGTGGTACATTCAAGTGTATGGAATTTTACTTTTCCCTAAATAATTTATTTGTGGGTACCTGCTTCTAAAGCTCAGAAGTTGGAAAGGGAAGAAAGCTCTTCAACAAGACAAGCAGTTAAATTGAGTAGCGTAGTGATGGCAGGCCATGAGAGGAGCCCTCTACCCACTGCCACAGCAAGCAGTTAAAACAGGCCTTCCCACGACCGTTCAGGGACCCTAGCTTTACGAGAGTATTTTGATTCCATAACATCTCTGATGCCTTCAAGGTCATGGGAGGAAGCTTCATTGGTCACTGCATAGACAGGCCTACCCCTTCTGTTTTTTCTTCTTAGAGTACCACAAATTTCCACTTCCCTGTTAAGTAGATCTGTTGTTCTGCCATCAGAGAGAATGCTATACTTCTCAAATTTTTCACATCATTCATTCAAAAAAATTCAAGTAGGCAGTATCCCAGTTGGAACAGCTATACCTGACAATCCTAAGGTCAGGTTTTTCCAAACAGCAGTGTTGAGGGAATCTGAGAGATTCCAGACCAGTTTTACTCTTTAAAAACTGAGAGTTTGACATTCGTACTAGTATTAAGGTTTCTTGTTGCATGCCAGTGTGGCCATCTGCTGGGACAGGGGTCGGCAACCCACTACACGTGCCAGAGCATAGCATGCAGGGCCATATGCTCGGCATGCCACAGCTGGCCCAGGCTCCGAGCAGCTGCCACCAGCCACGGAGCCCAGGATGCTTGCAACAGGCAGCCGGGAGGCTGCAAGCCCTGCTGCAAGCAGCCCATGGTCTGTGGCAGACAGCAGCTGCCCAGAGCCCCAGCCAGCTATGGCAGGCAGTGCAGAGGCCGCAAACAGCTTCATCGGGATCCAGAGCCCCAGCCGGGCTCCGTGGCAGTGGCCGCTACATGCGCACTCCAGGGCACACAGCCAGGAAGGATCTTGGGGCAGTGCAACCCTGGCCCCTTGCCCACCATGGACCCTAAAGCATACATGCAGCCACCACTGCCACAGAGCCAGTGCCAGGCCTCTGGAGCCCAGTGCAGCTGTTTGTTGCTTCCCGGCTGCCTTCCACAGCTGGACCAGGCTCTGGGCAGCTGCAGTAGGCAGTGGGCAGGCTGCAGACAGCTGCACCAGGGTCTGGAGCTCTGGCACTGGCTTCATGGCGGTGATGGCTGCATGTTCCCCTTGGTGCACACAGCAAGGAAGGGACCAGGGAGCGCAACCCCAGCTTCTCCCCTGCCACGTGCCCGGAGGCATGTGTGCTCCCACCACCAGCAAACAATTGACCAGGCCCCTCATGAATCCCCTGTTGTCTGTCTCTAGCATGCAACATTGAGGCATGGGTGGACATTGGGGTGTTTTTGGCATTCGAGCCAAAAATGTTGCTGACCCCTGCCCTAAGATGTTTCTCAGTCTACAGAGGATAGAGGAAGAAACATTTACAGACACACTGGATCTTCTGTTAATGCAGCTTTCTGTGCTCTATCCATCACCCTCAACGCATACCTGTGCATGTGGTTGTGGTGGGAGGGATGAAGCGGCATTGTCTTATCCAGGCAGAGATGAGAAGGTTGCAGTAGGATAAATTAGCAGGTGACATCTGATCCCAGCCTTATGTTCTCAGCTCTCAGCTGTCTTGAGACCCAGCAGCAGCCCTTGTACACTTCTTGCCTAGAAGAAACCTTTTGGAAGGCTTCTTTAAAAGCTAATTATACACTTGTCCATGACTTCTGATCAACCCACACTTTAAACAGACAACTTGCTTTTTTTGATAAATGTGAGTCTGAGCAGGTATCTTCTAATTCAGTGATTGTATCATTATTGTTAATAGCAGGAGACTTCTAACTAAAAAGTTAATTCTCTTGATAAGAATTAATAATCCAACACCTTACAATAAAATTAACTCTGGATTACATAAGTAGACTGCTTAAATTCTGTGTGTCAAGATTTAGGTTGGAGTTACTTAAGTAATGGCCAAAGAAATCTCATGGTTAATGCTTAGAAGGTTTCTTCCTGCCTGTATTAATATTACAAGTTCTAAGTTTGTCTATGTTGTTCATACTAGAGGTGAATTACTAGCCAATCAACATCCTCAAACTGTAGCGAATTGTGAGCTGTTGTTAGTTGCAAGTTATACATCTTTTGATATTTAAATTCAATAGTGTCTGTTTAACCCTCTGCCATTTGGTTTATGATGGGGGTGTCCAACCTTTTTGAATGTGGGGCCAGATCATGAACTTTTTATCACCCAGCGGGCTGGTGAGCCATATTCAAACCCCCTTTGTCCTGGGCCAGAGAGCCCCTGCCTGTGTAGCCCTACTGCACCTGCCTGTTAATGCAAGGTTCATGGTAGCTACTGGTGGGCAGGGGCAGGAGGAACCCATTCTGCATCCAGCCAGCTACTGCCCTGGAAACTGAAGGGGAGAAATAAATAGCTCCACATCTCCGTCCCCCAAGCAGCCCAGTCCCACGAGTCGGTGCTGCCTGAGGGGGGCTGGAACAAGGCGGCTGCTGCACCGCAGCCCCTCACCCGCCCACCTGCATGGCCCTGCTCACTGTGGTGCCCGGACGCCCACGCGCACAGCCCTGGTGGCCTCAGCACTGCGAGCCTGGAGCACAGGGTCCAGCAGACACCAGCTCCTGCCGCCTCGCCCCGCAGAGGTCACGCCAGGACGCTGCCTGCCGAGGCCCCCCCATGCTGGCTTCCCATGTGCTGCTGGGGACAGGAGGAGGCCGGCCAGGTCGTCACCAACCAGCAGAAGTGACTGGTGCAGGCAGGGGGAAAATGCAGCTGATCCCCTGCCGCTCCGGCCAGGCTCGTCCCATCCCGAGCAGCACGCTGCTTCGCCACTTCTTCTGCTGTCTGGTGCAGCCCCGGCCAGCCTCCTTCCGTCCCCAGCAGCTTGTGGGGAGCCAGTTTCAGCCGCATGCTTCTCCAGATGGGACGAACCCAACCAGGTCAGCACCGGCCAGGAAAAGTGGCATGCAGCTGAAGTCAGCTTCCCACGTGTTGCTGGGGACAGGAGGAGCCTGGCCGGGTCTGCACCGGCCAGCAGAAGTGGCGGTGGAGCCGTGTGCCGCTCGGGATGAGACGGGACGAGCCTGGCCGGAGTGGCAGGGGCTCAGCTGCACTTTCCCCCTGCCTGCACCGGTCAGTCCCGAGCGGCACATGGCTCTGCCACCGCTTCTTCTGGTGCCGACCTGGCCAGCCTCCTCCCGTCCTCAACAGCGCGTGTGAATCCGGCTTCGGCTGCATGCTGCTCTGGATGGGACAGAGCCGCCTGGGTCGGCACCAGCCAGCAGAGGCGGCAGCGGAGCCATGTGCTGCTCAGGACTGACCAGCACAGGTAGGGGGAAAATGCAGCTGAACCTGTGCTGCTCCGGCTGGGCTCATTCTGTCCCAAGAGGCACATGGCTACTCCTCTTCCCACACGCACCGCATTGACAATGTCAAGCTGACACAGTGCGTGTGGGAACCTTGTTGCTTCCCCAGCCCTTAGGTACCCATTAGGAAGCTGCTTGAGGGGCTGGGGGAGGGACAAGGGTTTCGTTTCCTGTTGCAGCATCGCAAGCTTCAGGAAATGCCTTGGCGGGCCATATGTTGGACAAGCCTGGTTTATGAGTTGCTACTTGAGAGCCCTGTGATAAATGTATACAGGCAGTATGTTTCATGTGTTGATGCTAGATTAATATTTCTGACCAACCTTATTAAAAACAAAGTGAACTTTTTAATTGTTCAGAGCTCGAGGAACAGTCGTTTTAGCCTTGCCGTGTCTCAACAAAATGTTTTGATTCTTTTACGTCTTAAAACTTCTTATATGCTTATGTTAAAATATTGTTTAAAAAATACAACTGACAAGTAACATAATTTAGCTTCCAGACTTGAGTCCAGTAGAAAACAAAGAGTATAAGCCTGGTCCAATTGGAAAGGAGCGTTCATTAAAGAACAAAAAGGTGAAAGATGCCCAGCATGGAGAGTCTGATGGACAGGAGAAGCCCAGTCCCACTGCTGTCAGAAGTCCAGAACCTGTTACTACAAAAGAAACCAAAGCAGTGAATGAACTGAGCACTGAAATAGGAACAATGATATCAGTCTCCACTCCAGAGTTTGGAACTAATACAAAGGTAGGAAAAAAGGCAAAAATTTAGTGAACATTAATGAGCAATATGTGTAGCAGGGCTGTCTAACTGGCGGCCTGTGAGAGGCTTAATTATAGCCTCCGGACTCCTGATCCACTGCTTCCCCACTTGCTCTCTTGCTGCTGCTGCCGCCAAAGTCCCCAGGCTCCCCTGCTGTCCTCCAGCTTCTACTGGGGGCGAGGCAAAATGGCACAACCTATAAGATCCTGTGCCTGAATGGTTTGTATATATAAAGAGAGATATTTTGCCTCATGTCTCTTGTGCAGGGGGTGTCTGCATGGTGCAGCACATGTACCCTGGGGCTGCAGGGTGCATCAGGGGCTGTGCAGCAATGGGGTTGGGGTTCTTGTGGCATGGTGTTTAGCCCATGTAGCATGTTGTATAGGGGGGTTTGCACCTGCATGACATGTGGGGTGAGTTGTGTGGAGACTAGTGCCTCTGCTGCTTCAGGAGTTGGACAGCCCTGGTGTATAACATAGCCAGTACTTGATTATCTAGAACAGAGTTATTTTTTGCACTGATTATTTAATCTCTGAATTCATCTGTCATGTGGTTGCCTGCTAATGGCATTTGCCTTCATAATAAAGCCCACAAAACACAGGAATTGAAGAGTGAAGTGCTTGTTTACCGTTCGTACCATCATCAGAGAATTTAAAATATATATTTGCTATAAGTAATGCTCTGTAAATATGACTGGAGGTCAAATATTTATCACTGCTAAGACAGTAACAGAGTGGAATTCCTAACTAAACAATGGGAAAAAAAGTCTGTGTCTTGGTTCTTAAGGTATGTGGAGAATAGCACCAAAGAGGTTTGAATATGCAGAAGCTCTAAAGTCAAGGATTGAATGTGCAAGAGGGATGTGCTCAATCATGAGCAGAGAGCTGCAACAGCATATGGAAGTGAGGCTTGACTGGAAACCTTCAACTTGGAAACTGAGCACCACACTAAGGGAAAGAACATATTTCTTGTCTTGGAATAAAACTTTAATAGGAATAAAATTTATTTAAAAGTTGTCAGTCATTTAGATACCCAAGTCCCACTTGAGTTCCAGTGACACTAAAGTACTTCTAAAAACTTTGCTGATGAATATCCATTAATGAGTACCGTTGTAGCACACCTTGACAACTGTTTAAGCTTCACTATAGGTTCTCTACAGATAGCTTTGCTGTTCTGTGCAGATTTTAAATGATGCTCTACAGCAATACTTTTTTTTTTTAATTGACTTCACAATAGGCAGCCTGAAAATGAGATTATGACCCAAGCTTCCTTACAATGCTACTGCTGTAATGGCTCACTGAAGGCTAGTGGCATACAGGATAACTTGAAAATAGCCTGCATATGACTAAACAGTGCAGGATATGGCTATCAATGAGTGGGAGCTCTGGCTATAGAAAATGGGTTCATCACCTGGCAGCTATTAAAAAGAATATCCAGAGTTTTTAAATTAGATGCTAGGAATCATTTCAGGAGACTTATCTATACAGCCCGTTAATGAGGTAGATTTATGTTCCATGCTGTCCCATGCAGGGAGCTTAATTTTGAATGGAAATCTAACTAACCTCTGCCAAATTATTGTTCTGTGGTTATTTTTTACATGCTGAGAAATTGGTTTAGAGTGCTGTTGCCCCTGTGGAAAGGCAGCTTGTGCCCATAACTCAGCCATTTTCAATCCCAACTATATAGTTGATCCAATAAAAGATATCACAAAAAAGAAACAAACACCCTCTCTCATGCTGAGGGATGCGAGGGGCAAGTCACTTCAAAAACATGTATTAATAGTTCTAACTTAATTCAGTTCAAACAACTCTGAAAGATCAACAATAATTGTTGCCGAGTTGCCATGCACCTCAGTGAATTGAGGCCAATCTACACTTTGGTTAGGGGGGCCACATATTGTTGCATACTTAACCAGTATAGCATGAGAGCTCTGTCCTTGCAAAGAAACAGTCTCTAATATCTACTCTAGTTTGTTGTTTTGACAGGTTTCAGCTGGTCCCAGCAGTGATGGGATTTTTGCTGATTTTTTTTTTTTTAAAGGGTTCTGACAAGTTTGAATCTTAAGTTCAGTGCTGCAGTTCTTCTGTTTTGTCTTCTGTGCATTTGACTGTATCAGGCTTTGCTGAACCAGCAGATATAAATTGCTAACAAACACGCTCAAAATTAGGATCAATAATACCTTTATATTTCCAGGCAGGATTGGAGTGTAACCTATACTGAATGGGTATTCTTGGCAATTGGAATGGAGGCTATGATTTCACCTTGGCTGTGCAATTTCTTCCCACCTCCCGCTTCTGGTTTGGGCCCCACTTCCTGTGTTGAGTTCACTGTGTGGGCTGACCTTAATAACATCTTGTTCTAGTCCCAGGGCCATAGCAACTCATTCTCACCTGTCTGAAGTGCAGAGAACAAAACCATCTTTTTTCCAGGAAGCCTTCATAATGAGAGGTGTGTCAGAGCAAAATGCTGACCATCACTAGCACTAATACACTAATCTTTTCCTATTCTCGTTTGTACCATCAGGGAGATACCTTCAAAGGGGTTTTGTGGTCTTTCTGGATTCTTTATTAAGTAAAACATCTGAAAAGGGTAGAAAAGTAGAAGCTTTATAAACCTTCAATATTGGAGTGGTTGTGGGAACATTGTGTCTTATCTTTCTGGAGGAAGGCTTAAAAAGAATGAGTGCTTTGGTATGGAAGCTGTCCTAAGTTGGGCAGCATTTGAAACTCCCCAATGACACTTCTTCCCAACTGGATAATGAGTCAATAAGGTATTAATAAAAATTGTTTCCCCCCCAAAAATTCCTTTCCCTTTTAAGTTCCTTTAGTTCCACTTATTACTTATGGGTTCTTTGGTTACCCATTGATTCTTCAAGCAAAAGCAAGAAATTTAAGCTCCCTATATAAAAACTAGGTAAAGAGAAAAAAACATATTGGAGAAGACTTTGGGGCTTTTTTAAAGGAAAAACTTGGTTCTTTTTATAGTTTGCCCTCTCACATTTTCTGACGCTATTGTTTTGGTTGTTCAGTACCTTGTAAGTTTTGTGGGTTTTTTCAGCAAAATGTCTTGCTAAATTATTAATAATCTTGAGCTATTGAAGGAAAAGGCAAATGTCACAATTTTTATAGTCTGAAAAGAAGACCCCCTTACTTTCTAATTCAGTGAAAGAAAGGTTAATGTCTGAACAATGTTTTCAAAAGTTCTTTTTAGGAGCACTGGATCAGAGCTTCTGAAATGTTGGGGTTCAGTTTCCAGTTCTTCAGCATGTTTCCTGTGTGATCCTGAGAGAGTCATTTAATTTCTTATTTAGTTCACCAACCAGATAATGGGGATGATAGTTCCTTACCTTGCAGGAGTGTTATGTCTGAACTCAGTGTTAGCAAGGCACTTCTGTATAACTGCTTAGGGCCTATACAAATGTCTGGTTAGAGCTGCAAATCCAGAAATGTGTCTTGCATCCAGTTGCTTCAGTTAAGGAAATGGTCAGTTCTCTGGTTTGCTAGAATCTTTTTGGTCACTCTTTCAGGAAGCCAACTGAAATACCAGCAAAGACTATCTTAGAAACTTCCATAGCCTTGATGTCAGACTCCATATCTTCCATATGTTTTGTAAGGAATACTAATACAATTTACAGGGTGTGTCGAAACATCTAATTCTGCCAGGCACAAAACAGTTGAACAGGCAGTTAAATTTCTCTTGGCAGTGTTCTTTGTACTAACTCCCTGCTCTTTACTGTAGTCTCTAGAGAGAAACAATGTGGTGTTCAGGCTGGATTGTACTGCTGCAGCCAAGGAAGGAGCAGAACATAACTCCTTTACAACCCCCACATTGTGCTTCAGGGAGACTCTGGCTGTCCCAATCAGGGCTGCCCTGCACACTGCAGCCATCTCTTTCCAGGCAGGCTGAGGGAGCCTGCAGAGCACCCTGAGGTGTGTGCACAGGGCCCCCCCTGGCTGTGCAGTATCAGCACTGCAAGCTCTACTGCTCAGTGGCTCAGCATTCAAATGTATGTCCAGGGGTCTCCTGGTAAGTTTTTCTCTACCAGAAAACAAACCTGATGGACTTTTTCCCAGATTGTTTGAACATGTGTATACATCCAGATCCTGGATGCCCCCAAACTTTTTTGGGCAAAGGATTCATTTTTATAGAGGAAACTTAAAAAAAACAGTAGTTGCAGAACACTTAGACAGCAGTTGCAAAACAAACTGGGACACACATACAGGGGTGGGAGAGTTTGTTTGGGGTTTTTTTTGGGGGGGGGGGGGGTTCTTTTATGTTTCGTTGGGTTTTTTGTATTCCAAAGAATGGTGGATTTGGCATCAGTTTATTGGATGGATACTTGTACATTCTGATTCAAAGCATTTCTTAGGTCTTTTGCCAAAATAAATTCATCCTTTTGCAAAATAAATGCAGACCTTTTTACATGGTACTCTTAAGTGTCTTGGTATGTTAATCGCTGTCTTGTTAACAAGGACTGCAGACATGGAAAATGGGCATATATACCTGTTCCCATGCTTAAACAGTAAGCCTAATTCTCAAGTCTAATAATTGTTGTCTGTAGTTATATTGGCATAATCTGAAGAATAGGACCTTTGTGGTTATGTACATTGGAAATGATAAATGTGTCAGCACTGGTAGTGAAAATTCCTGAGTTTGGTTCTTCAGTCTTGTCCCAATGATGTTCAGCCCAGTGAGAGATGGAAATAAGAAGCAGCCTGGGAAATATTAAAGCAGAAGACATTTCTAAGACACAAACATCTAAAGCATCTGATTGTACAATGCCCACTAGAAATCAGCCCTTGGTCTTGGTTGTGATCATACCACATACTGGGGAGGTTCTTTGGGTTGCATTCCCTAGGTATCTCAAGTCAAAGCATTCACCAGAGCAAATGCATTTTGAATATTCTGTTTTGTTTACTCTGATAACGAAAAGTCTAGAACTAAAATAGGTCACTGGGCCTAGTATGTCATCACCAGCTTGACGATGCCTTGATGGAAGTTAATGTTGTCACTGCAGAGAACAAAATAGTAATTTTCAAGTCAGTGTCAGTTGGTATACCAGGCTTGTTCACTATATCGTATTGTTGGGAAGTCCTGGAGCTAATGACGGCCTTCAACTCATAGTACGCATATAGCAAATGGTAGTTGCTGGCTACAACCGCTTCAGCAATAGTGACCATCACGTCTTAATGTGGTATACCTAAAGGAAATGTTAGATATTAAAGCAGATGAGCTTACTGGTTTCACCATAGATAGACTGGGATCTTCATTCCCTTCCTTCCATTAAATCACTTTTCAGTGCAGAAATCCAATGGCACACTTCCTTATTCAGGGGAAAATCACTAAATAGGCACTTTCAGGAAAGGATTTAGGAGCAATAGCAGTTGCGTTTGTCTCCCTTACAGCATCCCTTGCTCTAACTCATTTCCTTTCCTAATATGTCTGATGTTAGGAGCTTTTTAAAATCAATGTTTAAAGGGTACTTTAATACTGTGGAACTATCACCCTTTTACTGGGACTCCTAAAATCTGTTTGGTCACACTAAGCTGGCTGGCACAGGAAAATAATATTTGGAATATATTACTACTACTTTTTCTCAAGAATTTTAATATAGCTTCAAATAGTGGTGTTAGAATGAACCCAGCTTGTTGTCTTCTATGCAAAATAATTGTTTTCATGGACTTGGAGCTAATAGTTGTCCTTGGTTGTAATCTTGACCACTCTTCTGGTGCAGTATTTCTGAAGGTCTTCATCTTTGTATCACTTATGTTTTGCTTTCTTTCCATACTAATATTTCTTCCATTTATTTACTGCTACATAGTATTTAAAAACCTGTTCAAATGCATTTAACTTTTTATATGTTCTAGCTTTAGAAGTGTGTTTGATTCAAATTACGTGATTTAGGGAACCAGGCCATCCAGGGATATGCTGTGTCTGAGAGCTGAACTCTTGCACAAATGTATCTAGTATTTAGTGACTCGGCAGTGATAGGCCTTCTGACAAAATGAATAGGTGGTGGAATAATGTCTGTTATTTGGTCAACTGCTTCTGTAAAGACAGTCTCAACAAACAACCCAAAAACTAAATAACTAGTTTAGTTAGGGGGTTTATTTTTTAATTGAATTATTTTTCTTCACAGGAGTCTGTGACAGACTATACTACACCTTCCTCTCATCCTAATACTGTGGCCACTAGCAGTACAAAAATGGAGGAGACTTTGGTGACTAATGTAAGTCTTGCAGTGAACCTTGTGACTTGGAAGACAGGAGAAAATGTTTTACGCCTGCCGTTTTAAAGACAAAAGTTACTACATTCACTTAGCCATTGCTTAGGGTTACCTTGATGCTAACCTACTGCTCATTTTTGTAATTCTGCTCTAAAAGACAGCTTCAGTTTGTCCCCTAGTTCATTAATGGTATTATGTAGTGTTTGATGATAAACAGGGTAGAGAAGCTGGGAAGCACAGGTAATTGATAGAAGATTTAGATATTCTAAAATAGATGGAGTGTCAAGATAGCAATATTAACAGAGAAACTGTTCTCAGCAGCAATTAGTAGAATGGTATTGGCTTCTCCTGACCTTTACTAATGGAGTCTATAAACCAGGCTGAAAGATCACAAGATTTTTAAAACAAAGGCAGTTTTGAACTGAATCATGAAATGAATTAAGGCTGTCAGAAAACAAATTAGCGAAGCTTTGAAAGCAGACAAAAAAATTTCAATCATAATGCATAAAGTACAAATGTGGTGATGTGGTGTGTTTGCTCTTCCCACAAAGCCAGCAGTCCTGGCTTTGTGCATTTGTTGTGGTGATTGTGTGTGCCAACTGCTATATGACTTGAAGTGACTTCAGCTCTTTCTTGACCTTGTGGAGGGGTCTCTGTCAAGGTGGAAACCTGAAGTTTTGTGATTCTGCTGTGTGAGTAATGCAGCCATAACTAGGTCAGAGTTGGCTATGTGTGGATTTGGGGAGGGGAGAAGCATCATCTATATAGGTTCTGCTCCTGCATCTCCCCAAAGAGAGCTTGCGATGTAAATTAATTCCATAAGTATATATGTTAGTGATAGCAGCATTCTCATGGTGATATTGTGTGTAGCTATTCTGCGTTACCCTTTCCTGTTCATATTGCTATGATCCTTTTGTGGTGTTTTGTTAGTGGCAGACTAAAATTGGAGGCAAAGTATTCTGCTTTGCCTGAATTCCTTGGTGCTAGTAATTATAGTGTGTTCCCTTGTTGCCTGCTAGAGTTGGATTATGTAAGAATTGGGGGTTCCCAGCAACAAGGGATTTGTGCTCTTGTCTGGTTTCAGAGTTTTAGTCTCTGTATCTTTAGGTTAGCCTCATCTCATCCTGTGGCAGCTCTGCATGACTGTAACTAAATGAAAAGACAATGATGGACAGGAGTAAGAGCCCTACAAGATGGTTATGGCAATGCTTTCTCAAACCTCGCATTAGAACCTTTAGCAAAATCATCATTGGCATTTTCTTGGGCAAAGATATGCATGGCATTTTGTCAAGTTCTCTCTTTCCTCAGTTTGGACTTTATGTATGAATCCCATGGAAAGTTAGGAAGCTAAAAATCACTATATTCAAGCATCCGCTGACAGGTTAATTTCTGCTTATTGCATAGTCCTGTGACTTTGGAAAATAAACCTTCCTCTTTTATAGAGTTGCATCTCAAAGCTTAAGCGGACACTAAAATCAGTGTGTGCAATGGGCCCTGTAAAGGCCAAGCTTGGCTTGGGGATAATTTTGTGTGCCTTGTTATACTAAACTGATGTTTTGAGCTAATTGACATTTGATTATACAGAAAACATTGGTGCACAGAAAAAAAAATGAGTCTGAAGTCTCTCTTCAAGAGATGACTCGCATTTCATGAGCACATCCTAAACAGCCTTTCCCTAACTACCAAATTTTCATCTTGTTTTGTCAAAACATCCCTGCCATATGCTCAAGCCTTGAAGAAAATGTAGTCCATTAGCACCGCTTGAGCTTTTGCTTTTATGGGGCTTTTGTAGTAGACTTAGTTAGAATGTGATATGTGTTGCCTGCCTTTCAGGTGCCCCTGCCCCACACCCTTCCCCTCCCTAGGAGGGAGACTCTACAACAGAGCTCCAGCCTAACTCCAGTTTCTCCCGCTACCGTGGACCTCACCCTCAAGGTATGTACCACATCCCTCTAAGGGTCATTTTCTTGCATGCAGGGGGAAAGTTCATGGAGATCTTGCTGGTGAAGCTTTTTTAGAGCCTTCCTTTGTTTCCTCTGCCAAATTACTTTTGCATATAAACAGTTAGCTGAAAAAAGAGGTATCAAAAGGATGCATTAAACTTCTAAATATTTTTAACTCCGTTTTGCATTAACACTTGGCATCAGCCAATGTTGACTACCGCTACCCAGAGGATTAATCCTAGGTACATGAAAGAATATAAAATATCATACCGTGCTATTCATGATAGAAACCCATCAAATTTTGACTTACTAGTAGACAGATATGTGCAAAACAAGCTGGTTAGTTTTGTGGTGCAGGTTTTTAAAGAGCTGGCTAGCATGGTGGTTTTGGCAGGCAGTGCTTGAGTTTCAGTGTGTGTTTGGTTCACTAACGTGTGACCTATAGAATCAGATGATTGGAGTAGTAGATAATGAAAGGTTGAAAGTTAAGTTCTGTGTAAAGAGTTATTGTATCTTATAAGCCAGTTATAAGTGCTTTGGTATTTGGTTGGCATTTCATGCTCCTTTACTGTTTAGCATTATAGAACAAAACTGTAAGAACTTTTTGATTATGGCATTTATTCAGTTTTGATGTTAGGAGTTGGTCTGTGGGGTGCTCTGTAAGATGCTAACATTAAATTGATATCTTGGCTACAGCAGTGTTGAAGTATTGGTATTCTTCAGTGCCCTGGAAGAGCG